GTAGACACACAAAGACCTGGCAGAATGGAAATGGGAGATTTGGGTGTCCTTGATCATGGGCCAGCCAGAAGCTGTCAATGCTATTAAGCCATGGATAAAGCAAATGCGATCCTCAGATGTACAAGATGGCATTTTGTCAGAGGCTCATGTAGAAACCCCCCTGTAAAAGGCACTAGTCAGGATCCATGAGTTCAACATTCAATTTGTGTGGCCTACAGCACTGAAAAATTATTTTGACAGGAGACTCTTACTTGTTTCTTTTCCCAGCTCTGATGTGGTTGCTCTGGATTCACACAAAGCTGCCAATGCAGATAATAAATGTAGAAAATTATTTGAAATTAAACTTGTAGACAGATTTCCCTTGTCCACTCCAGCTTTGCCCTGAGATTTACTGTCTGAAAAATGCTTCCTTCCCAGAAGCTGTCACTCAATTTTAATTTTAAACTGAATTACAAATCCAGAAGACTAACCAGTTCCAAGAAAAAAACTTCCAAGGGGCATTTATGAATCAGTAGTTGTAAGGACTCATTTACTTTTCACGTAGTTCTTGGTATCAAAATATAGACCAGGGAGGGCTGGATCCTCATCTGCTGTTCAGTTTTAGTAAAAGGAAGACATTCACCTTCTTTGCACCAAATGACAAAAATAATGCAGGGTTTGTCCATCACAAGTTTGCATTTTGCAGGCATGCTGCTCCTTTCCTTTACAGACAGAAGGGAAACTGTGTCCCTGGGATGCTCTGGAGAGAAAGCCACAGCAGTTGACATTCATAGATTAAGACCCTAAAAAGGAGAGGCAAAACCAAGTAGTATTTCAGCAAATGGAGGTGATGCACTCAGCAAAGCACACAATTTACAGATTCTCCAGGGAACTGGGGAACTAATTCAATTAATAAAAAGCTTTCAGTCCCCATTTCAAGGCAGATAAACTAAATTTTCAGCCACAAAATTAATCTGCATTGCAACAAATTCACTGGAGAAAACAATACAAAATCTAACCTCTTTGGGTAGTTTTCATCAGTTTTTATTTTGCCCCTGAAATGACAATTCCCCCAGAGCCATGTGGGTCCTACATAAAAGCAAAGTGGCCTGAGCCACAAGGTGCCAAGTACCGCACAAGGAATTTGAAGCTTTCCATTCAATGTATCCTTAAGTCTAAAGACAATGAGTATGTCTTGCTGGTGGAAAAAAAAAATTTCAGGAGATGTGTCAGTTCTCCTCTTCCCACATCTGCACCAAACTGCACAGCAATGTTTTCCCTCAAGTGGTGATATATATGAAATAAAATCCAAGCCTGGTGTCTACCTCCACAACCACCACCAGACCCAGAATTTGTATTTTCAAGCTTCACAAAAGCCAAGAACTCAGTGGGGCTGAAAACCAACTCAATTCACTCTCATCGCCCCTCTTGATATTTACAAGGCATGGATAAATGTCTCTCCTCTCACCACTGAGAGCCTTCTCACAGGATAAAAACATTGTAACTGAAGCAAACTCCCTATTTAGCTGGAAATGTAATGAGTTGTTATTATTATTGTTATTATTATTGCTATTTCCATATTGCCTATGAGAAGACTGGCAGGCAGTGGGACCCCAAGTTTAGCACAGCAGTTATTCTTACTATCCTTCTCTTGTGGCTGTAAATTCCCTGGTATAATTTAGTGGTAACAAAATGCAGTTCAGCCTAGCACCACCTCTTGTGGTCTGCAAGGACCTGCCCAGAGCTTCATAGCTAGTCTACACATCTATTTCGAATGGCAGTAGGTCTGAGCTTGTCAGCACTGTCTGTGTGAGAAAATCTGAGTGTGACATTGGTCTCATTGACCAGCTGGGAGCTCATTGAAAGCTGGAATAGGACAAGGGGATACAGTCAGAGAAATACTGGTGTGAAGGTTGCTCAGACACCTTAAGGACTGATGTGTGTGGGGACATGGAGGCTGTGCAGAAACCACATGCCTAGAAGGGATCCTGCAGAGCACAATGAGCTCCCAACATAAGGAGGATGTGGACCTGTTGGTGCAAGTCCAGAGGAGGTCACAAAGATTCTCAGAGGCCTGGAGCACTTCTGCTATAGAGATAGGCTGAGAGAGTTGGGGTTGTTCAGCCTGGAGAAGGTGGGTCTGGGAAGACCTTAGAGCACTTTCCAGTACCTAAAGGGACTACAAGAGAGCTGGAGAGAGACTTTGGACAAGAGTATGGAGGGATAGGACAAGGGGAAATGGCTTCAAACTGACAAAGGGCAGGTTTATATTAGATATTAGACAGAAATTCTTTACTGTGAGGGTGGTGAGGCACTGGCAGAGGTTGCCCAGAGAAGCTGTGGCTGCTTAATTCCTGGCACTGTTCAAGGCCAGATTGGATGGGGCATGAAGCCACCTGATCTAGTGGAAGGTGTCCCTGCCAACTGTCTTTAAGGCCCCTTTCAACCCACATCATTGTATGGTTCTATGATGGGCAGCAGCTGCTTGTTACTGGTACCTGGACATCCCCTGACCCCCCCCCCCCCCCCCAGTGTTACAGGGAGAAGTGATGGTCCTGCCCTAGTCTGACAGATAAAAGCAAGCTTTTGCAGTCAGGAAATCACTTTTACATTCTAAATGTGCAAAATTAAACACATTAGAGTGGGGAAAAGTGCTAATTTGGACAGTTGTAACCCAGACCTTAGGGCTTTAGTTTGGCGATGTGACAAAGCAGATTGATGCAAGTGGAAAGAAATCCCAAACAAATTTATATTATTTAAATAATACACCATTTTATTTTGTCTTTAAATAGTTTAACCTTTATGCTACGGACTTGATTCAAAAAACAGAAGGTCTTATCTTGCACAAAAAAAAAAAAATATATATATATATAAACCACTCTGTTTTATTATTATTTTTTCTTCAAAGACCATTAAATACTAGATGGAAAATGAGAACTAAATAATGACTGTTGAGAACAATTTAGAATTTTTAACTAGGGTTCCATGTTTTAAACATTTATATTCTAAGCAATGCTTTGTTTTCACTAAAGAAGATTCCAAGTTCACACTCCAGCAATTCAGGAACTGCTAAACCCTGAAGGGCTTGAGGCAATGCATACTAAAGTTCATAAGTTCATGGAAAGTCCCCCATCAACTCCAACGGGTTTTGGATCAGGCCCAAGTGCATTGGTTCTTAGCCATACAATGGCTATCATTTCTGTTTCCTGTTGAGAAGAGCAAAATCACACATGCACCTTTTGCTCTTATTAAAAGAAAAAAAAAAAGGAAAAAAAAAAAAAGAAAACCAAACAAATTCCTAGCTATCCAGTGATTGCAGTTTTCAGATTACTCATCACCCTTTCAAATTTGTTAAGAATAAGAAAAAAATGTAGTGTTTAGTGTTTTAAATAAAACTTGCATCAGACTACAATACATAAATTGTTTAAACAAACACAGTGCACAATTGGAGTAAGCTTGGTTAGGACACAGTTGTTTTTATATATACATGGAACTCACATCATACACAAACTGAAAAACAAGAGCATTAGCTTGCATTTTTAATAGAAGGACTACGAATGGATTTCTGCAACTTTCTTCACAATTGATGTTCAAAAGACTTTGTGGAACAGGAAAAAGCAGCCACAGTATGTCACTGTTTAAGTTACTGTTGCAAAATGTGTGCTAGCTCACTAAAATAATGGCTGAGTTGTGTGATTAAAATGCAAGGAGAAAAGATTGACGGCCACTACTGATTATAGTGACCAAATAGCATGGGGCTTTTCCCTACTGCAGTGTGAATGGGGTCCATTCACACTCCCCTCCCTACCTATTTCCTTCCCCCAGAGAAAGAAATCAGTCACTAGAAGCACCACATACATTTTTCTGGCCATGCAATATACTTATATTCAATGTTTTAGAAAGCTTGAAATTGGAATATCAATCCCTTATCTAATTGTTCTTTAAAGTGCAGTCTGAGCTGTTCTGGTTTTTTTTGTTTTTGTTTTTGCCTGCAGATAAAGTGATTGGAAGCCAAATAAAATTTATAAACCAGCCAACACAAAAAGAAAACAGAACTTCCCATGTCCTCATTACTGCCTGTTTAGCCTCAAATGGCAGAAAATCTGATGATAGAGCTGTACAAAATTCCCACTAGAAACAACAGGAATACAAAGAAATGTTGTAATTGCACAATAGACATTTAAAATGAATATAATCTTGTAAAGTCTAATCTTTGGTTTTTGCCTTGAGAAAGGCTCAAAATGACAGGTGAGCGGCGAGAATTTCCATATACACTACAGAAACTACAGCCTGCTAAAGTAAGTAGTTTCGCTGATTTCAGTAAATATTCTGGTAGAAAGTGTTTCCTGAATCATATCTGAAAAAAACAATTCCAAAATTAGTATAAGAGACATGACCTAAAGCCAGGAAAATAGTCCAGATCTATTAAAAAAAAATAAATTTAAAAATCACAACCTTAAGTTCTTATCCTGCAACACCTTTTAGGACAGAGTTTTAAGCACTTGAATGGTCCATCTAGTTTCAGCAAACTGTCCTTGCTGAATGTTACAAAGCTGCTAAAGTGCTTTGCCAGACTAGGATTTTGGAACTTGTTTGGGGTTGGGGTTTTTTTGAGATGGTGAATGACGCAAATAAGCAACAGTAGAAATGAGGACTGCAAGCAAAATGTTTCATTTCTCTCCTTCTACTCCAGGCAAGACTCATTTAGGAAAAAAAAAAGAGCTCTATTTAAAAAAGAGAGGGATGCTGGGCCTTTTTATTACTTTTCTTTTTCCTGTGCTTTTGCCATAATCATCTGCTACTAAGTCACTACTATTACTATTTTAAACCATAAGAAGACATGATAAATGATCAGTGAAACACAGTAGTCAGATAAAATACAACTGAAGAGTGCAAACTATAAATTATATTGAAAATAAAAATTCTTAAAATAAAAGCTGTTCAGTGCATATGTTATGGGCCGTTTGCATTAAAGACAGTCCCTCTTGCTGGTAAAATATCCAAATCAGCTTGGGTAAAAATACTCTTGGCCCAATTTTCAGAAGTATTGAATACCCCTCAGTTCCACTGAAATCAGTGAGGACACAGCATTTTTCAAAATCACTGATGCTCACACAGCAAAACACTAACTTCTACTAACCAACTCAATATACTGATAAATTAAAAATGTTCTGAAATTGGAGCTGAGAAAGGGTGGGTGGACATAAGTCTGCACACAGTTATTTCTTCAGATTAACATACACATGTTAGAAACTGTAGATGTGTTTTAAATTTGGTGCTATTAGGTTTTAATTGTGGGAGGAATCCTTCTTTGAAAAGGCAAAACCATTTTAAATTATATTGAAATCATACTACATTCTTATGGGAATGAAAAAGATCATGAGTTTGAATTTCTTAAAGCCAAGAAGGGAGCTTCTAAAGTTGAAGCTTTAACAATGAACTTCTGTGCCACAAAGGGGAGAAGGGGTGGGGACAGAAACAAAGGGACGCTGCATTACAGTAGATATTTGCGTCTTGTATCCTCATCCAAAGTGAGGTCTACTACTTCTGGGGGTGAAGACCAGTTCTGTTGGGGAGTCACTGCTGTCCATGATTGTGTTTGCTGAGTGTTAATATATTGTGAGCTTGAGCCATGCTTCCAAGATGACACACTCTGAATCACACCTCCCCTGGGATGCACATACCTGTAGCAAGGCAAAAACCACAAAGGAATAAAGCTACTATTGAATTCAGGAGCAAAATTCTTAGCTGCAGTGTTTTATCACATAGGCATCTTGTTAACATGCCCCTCCCTAAAATGTCCTCATGGATTTTCCATTTGTAGAGTCCATCACATCTTAAATACCCAGTAAACAAAGCTGAGACTAAATTTAAACTTGGTGGTGGTGATAAAATTATTTTTAAGAACTGAATTCTGCCAGTGGGTATAAAGTGATATTCCTTATAAAATATGTGCACGGATCCCAAGGATCTTGAAGAAGTCTACCCTATTATGTGTAATACCATGCACTATTGAGAAGCATAGTTTCTTGATAGCACTTTTACCCGCTGGACTTAAAAAGAGAAAAATTTTAAGTGAGGTTGGATGTGACAAAGAAAAGCTATCTTTCTATATGAAATCAAACCCATGTTAATATAAGGAGGCAATGATACTTTAATTACAATATTTAAAAAAGAAAGCTTGTCAATTCCATTATTACAGTCATTGCATTTGATATTTATTTTGGTCTTCTTAACTAAAATTACAATAATGCTGAGAAATGCTCACTGATAACAGTACAGCCCAACTTCAGCAAAACAATGAATCTTTCAGTGATTATAGTCAATGAGACTAAATAATGTATTTAAAGATAGATAAACACACACTCAAGTGCCTTGCTGAAGCAAGGTACATATCTACTTATTTGCACAGTATTTTTACTTATTACATTCATAGTAGATATGTTTTGATTGAAGTACAAGATAATAATAATTAGTAAAAAAACACAACACAATGAAAGACCAATTTTGTTATATGATAAAGTGATGACAAGAATTTACTGGAGCATTTAAGATGATAATTTCCACCTGTAAGTTTTAAACAAACACTAGGAAAACTTGATATCTGGTGCTCCAAAAATTGGTTTGCCTCTTATAAGCACTGATGGTGGCTGCACACATAAGTAGGAGGTGTTTTGGCTGCTGGGGTAAGCTTTTCCCATTTCTTTGTGAATGTGCATGTACTGTATTTCAGGAACCTAAATTTTATGAGTTGGTCAAATATCCCAGGCATTTTTTTTTAATTTTTTTTTTGAGGCAATGCAATTTATTTTCTCCAGAACTACTTAGGTTATGCTCATCTCTCTTGGTTCTTGTTATAATTTCATTAAATAGAATGAAAAATCTCATTCTCTGAGCTGTAACTTCTCTGAATATAAATGTCTCATTGCCTTCTCAGATACACTATTTACTTTTGGATGTGATGTTTTGATGTTTAAAATGACTTTTTCATTACTTCTTCAGTGTTAAAAATACATACTTAAAGTATGTATCTACAAAGAATTAGCAATAAGAGACCGGAACTCTAACAAATGTATCTGATTTCTTTCTTTTAAGAAGAAATATTTTTAAGCATAACTGGAAAAAATTAAACAAACTAAAAAAAAATAGTCTTTGTGTCTTAAGTAGATGCCAAGTAATATTCTAATGATGAAAAACTGCACCAATACATTCATAATCTGAAAAACTACAAATGATGGACAAACTCCAGGGTGTCATGACTCACACCAGTCCAATAATGACATGGAATATGGAGCATGATAAAAAACACTGTGAGCAAGAGAACAGAATCCAAACACCATGCTAAGCATGTAAAAATACTGATCAAAAACCTAAACCTTTTCCAAAAGACAACCCTGAAAGAAGCCCACCAATATTTCATAACTGCAAGCCTAGACCTGCAAGAGAAATACAATTCTAAATAGGATTTGAACAACTGAAACACGTGAGTATTTAACAGAGCCAGTAAAAACTAGTCTGTGGGAGATGATAGATAGTTACATGAACAAAGGAAAGCACAAAAGTGTGCTTTAAGTCTGCCTTTGTTGAAATTATTTCAGTCCATATCTACTAAAACTGATTTTAAACGGCAGTTCTGCATTTACTTCACATTTCCCTTCTTGTACACAGTAAATATTGAGGGAAGCGGCATGGAAAGTTTTTGAATAGGGGACCTCAAACAGAAGGGTTGTGCATGCATAGTGCTAGACAGATTTACACAAACTAGTATTGTAGGACAAGTCCACACTGCTTATTATTGGCACAAAGATACTCCAAGCCCTGGGTCTGCTGGATAAACAGTCAGGACAGCTACTTCTTAAGGAATTAGTATCTTCCAAAAGAGTTAGCCACTCAAGGACTTTCATTATTCTAAAAGCAAAGACAGTTTCCTGCCTGGGAAACTGGGTCCTACACACCTTCCTTCTTCCTTTCACAAAGAAAGATGTGGTGAAGGGACAACAAGGAACAGCTCTGCTTTGCCCCTCACATGCCTTTTCTGACTCCAAGCATCCACCACATCCACCAGGCAGCAGACTAGTTTTAGAGAGACCTTGTCCGTATAGTGTTTTAACTTGCTTTTATTCCACCAAATTGACACTCCATACTATATGCAAATGCCAGTCTTGTTCAACTGCTTCATGATATCTTAAGGCAAAGAAAGATCATAGATTAAAGATGAAGAGTAACATTAAAAAAATGCCTAGTAAGAATAACACCTGAAGCACAGCTGGACAGCTTTCTATCTGAGCTTGAAACCTCTGGTTTCTGTACCCTCCTTTACTTTGGGGATTTGAACTCTCTTGTATCCTGAAATAAAACCAAGATTCATGAAGATATGATTTTCAATCTAAAGGGGTTATCTTAAGATATAAGCTATTGAAAAGTTAATAGCATTTTTACAATTACTGATTAATTAAAGTGGAAGCTGATTAAATGCTTAAAGCTAATATTTTGAAAGGAAACAAGAACCTATATAAATATTTTAGTTTCATTATTTGCATATTCACACTATGCCTTTAAAATCTGAAGTCCTGATGTCTATACATTTGGTATTTCAATATTTGGTACTTTAATAGTACATATCTTTAGCCTGTTAATGTTTGATATCAAATCACAAGCTTAATATGAATACTTATCAAGTTGGTAATGTTCTAAAGAAAAATACATTCTGATATCACCGTGACCAGTGGAACAGAAAAAATGAGTGCAACATTTGCTACCTTTTGGACATCAGTCATGGATGGATAACTAAAGCAGTGAAAGTCAGCATTTTTTTTCTTTATTAATTTTGGCAATACAGATATTCTGATAAAATGAAATAAATATTAGAACAAGAAAAAGGAATTCATACCTGGCATGTTCCTGAACTCCAACAATCTCTACTTCACTATCAGAAGAGGCGATATTAATTTCATTATTGATCTGGACATTACTTAAAGATATTTTGTCACCTGCAAGGAAGCCTGGATCCAAATGACCTATAGATGGGGAAAATGCAAATACAGCCAATGTTTAACAACTTACATAACTCAAAAATCAGCTGAAAAAGGAATTTCCCAAGTGAACAAAAAAAACCCCAAAAGACTGAAACACTGCAAATGGAAAATAGTTTTAGATTAAGTTATCCAACTTTCTGTTTATCACCCAATACAAGATGACCGCTGGATTTATCCAGTCTCAATAGCTCCAGTGATAGTGTTATCACACAAATGTGAACCAAGTCTGATTGTTGCATCAAGAACATTCAATGTAATTAGGATTTCCAGCTGTTCTTTTATGACAATGCTGAGTTAGACTGCCTAAACCCCTGTTAAATAAAGAAACAAGAAGATCTAATGCAAATAAATCAAACTTGATACTGTGAAAAATAAAGCCTATAGGCTGGACATAAATATCACACACTGAGGAAATTTTTTTTTTAAATAGGGGAAGCCAGTCAATGAAATAAAAAACAATAAACCCATCAGTTTCTGGCCATGCTGCTTCACACATCTGCTCTAACATTATTGCAAAGACTTGTAAAAAAACCTTCTGTTTTTCTCAAGTCCCATATACAGCAGTGGTTTTTTTAATTACAGTTCCTCAATGATATCTAGTTCCTCAGTCTGTCCTCTCTAAACACTAAGAAGGTTCTTAACCCCAATTAGTGAAGCTTTGTTTGGACATATTAAATAATATTTGTATAGAAAACACAAACCAGACCAAATTATTTCTTTTACAGTAAATACATTATTTTAAAAATCAATTAAAAATAAGATTTAAATTGAAAAAGATAATTTTTATTTTTAAAAATGTTGTTTTAGGGAACAAAAAAAGACAATTATTTCTACTGTCTCTTTAGCAGTAACCTGGGGTATACTGGGCAGCCTTGAAGCAGATGACACTACCTACTCCTTGGGAACCACTCACTCATCTGTATTACACAAGGGAAGAATCAGTAGTCAAGCAGGAAATTTGAGAGGAGGTGAATATATTATGTATATCTAGCTTGAGTAGGCATGTCTTCAAAGATGAGAGGATGTAACAGTTTTACAGTGATGAAAAGTTTAAGATTGAATGAGCCCTTTCCCCCTTCCCTTCTTCATGACAGTGGAGGGAAGAAAAATACCAAAAAATGAAACTACAAGAGGTTAAAAAAGGTTAGAGACACATTTTTAGTAAATAAAATAGCAATAAACACAACAATAAAAAAGAAAATTGTACAAAAGAGTGGTTTAACCAACAAAAGCAAGGTGTTGATGATGTTTTGGGGTTTGCCTTTTCTTCTTTTATACGTTTTTGGTATTCTTCGCACATATATTTGTAGCTCTGTAGTCTATTGTATTAGTGGCTAGTTTTCCCAGTACTTTTCCATGGCCTTTCCCTAGGCAGAAAGACAAAACAAATTCCAGATCTCCAAGCCCCGGGGGGTACAAGGCCCCTATGCTATCTTGGTTCTTCCTGGGAACCAAGGTTGAGAACAACTCTTCAAGATACATTTTCATGGACAAAGTACAGCTAGTGGTGAAGAGGAGGGACTCCAGAGAAGGGGCTTGACCTGGGGGGAAATTGCATCACCACTTGTCCTCCTAACTGTTGCTTTTTATCAATTATGCTGATTTCCTAAAACTTATAAAAATGTACTCACCCCTGTGGAGGTGGGCTTTTGTTCACATCTTTCCATAACTGCCCCCAAAGGCCTTCAAATAAAGATCTGCTCTTATATTACCTCCTTACTAAAATTATCTCCAGTTTCATTTCCACACTCAGAAAAAGTCAACAATATCATGTGGCCTCTCTGGAACAAAGAAAAGATGGCAGGGACTTAGGGAGCAATTCCAATGGGGGATGGGAGGTGCTGGTGCTGCCTGGAGCAGCTCCAGATTTGGAGTGGAGGGTTTCCTGCCCTGGCACTGCAGCAGTGGCAGTGGTGGTGGCAGTGAGTATCTCTCCCTGCTGAATTCACTTTGACACCAGGTTCCTGCACTGCCACTACCACTGGGGGTGTGTGAGGAGGTTGGTTCTGCCACCTTACTGCCTCTTCTTACCACCTCACTGGGCTCCTTTTCGGCTCAGCTGGACTCCCTCTTGGCTTGGCCAGACTCAGTTATAATCAGTGCCCTTGCTCCAGGTCACTTTGCTACCCTGAAGGGGGGGAAGAACTGGTCCCATGGTGAACTGAAAGCTGTGCAGCCCTGGCTCCACTGGTCTCAGCTGCATAACAGAGCTGTCACTTCAGCACCATCCCCCTGGAGTGGTGCCGATGTCTCTCCTCAGCCCCTTGTTCTGCAAAAACATCCTGGACGGATGGGAAATGGGGGGAAATGGTGGGGCATGGGGTGCTGGGATCTGCAGGTCCTTTAGCTGGAGTGAGCCAAACAAAAATGGCCCCCTTTCCATTTCTGGCCATGGCATTTTCCCTGCCAAAAGTGTGCTGTGTTAGTTTAACACAACCTGGCTTTTAGTGGAGGTGGAGGAAGCCACAGAAGCTGCCTCTGATAGAGAAACTCCTAGAAATTTCTACTATGTCCAGCAGAGCCAATCCCTGAAGGCTCTGATAATGGACATATTGGCTGACCCAATTAGAGAAGTTGGGAATGCCTCTGTGATAGCATATTTAAGAAAGAAAAAAGCCATGGGAAGCTCTCTTTCTTCCTCAGAGGGGTGGGTAGGTGCCAGTGCCCTCCTAGCACTGAGAGCAGCCTTGTGGCTGGCACTGGGGGTGGCCAGGGCCAGGAGCAGGCACACGGCCGCCGCCATCTCAGAGCTGGGAGTGGCAGCACAGCTGGGGCAGTGCAGTCGGGGTGGCACAGCATGGCTCGCAATGAACTTTACTTGCTTAGCTACTTTTAACCAGCTGTGCTGTGGACAGAAGAGCAGGGGCAGTGACAATAGCTTCTCCTTTTTGATGCCCTGCATGAACAGAAGCCCTAAATGGCAGCCGGCACCACCTGCTCGGTTCTGGCAGGGACTACATGGCCAGCAGTGAAGGGCATGGCAAGCAGCTCCCCAACGCAGAGCCCAGATGGGATCAACCTTTCAGCACTGCAGAATTCTATAAAAACTTTTCAATTGATAGAACTTGAGAACAAATGAACCTACAAACACCAATTCTTTCCCGAGTCAATGAAAAGGTGAAGACACATGAGGAGAGCAACATGACGACACTAAGGTTGATGCAAAGGAGGGAGGGAGAGGAGGAGGTGCTCTGGGCATTGGAGATGAAATCCTTCTGCAAGCCATGGTGAGGACTATAATACAACAGTTTCCCTGTAATTCATGAAGTGTATGGGGGGGATGCAGAGTTCACGCGCAGCCCATGAAAAAGAGTGCTCACACTGGAGGGCATGGATGCTAAAAAGCTGTAATATAGTGAGAAACTTGAACAGGGAGAGAAGACCCTTGCTTTCTGAGATAGAGAAAGAGGACCCTAGCTTCCAGACTAGAACAGCTCATCCTTAAAAGACTACACCCCATGAACCAATGACCCCTGAAAACAGTTGTGGGAAGACTGTTTGCCTGTGGAAGGGGCTCACGTTGCAGCAGGTCGGGCGGGACTGCTACTTGTGAAAATTAGAACCATGCTGGAAAAGTTCGCAGCAAACTGTCTCCCATGGAAAAGACCCCACGGCATAGGAAAAGAGACTCCTCTCCCTAAGCAAACTGAAAAAAGATTTTTTAGAAGTGACAAACTGACTCAAAACCCCATGTTTTGTCTCCTTTCATTGTTGGTAGAAAGGAAAGGGCTGGAGGGGAGGGGAAAGGTGTTCTAAAAGTTTATTTTAGTTCACATTATCCTCTTTTAATTCTGTTAATAAATTTTTCTTTAAAGCTTTCAAGTTTTGAGCCAGTTTTGCCCTTAGAGTGTTTCTTCCCAATCCTTACCTCAACTCATGAGCCCCTTTGATTGTTCTTTCCCCCTCCTCTGCTAAACTATAGCAGAGGAGAATGAGTGAATGGCTTTTTGTGGGTGCCTGGCTTCTAGCTTCTAGCCAGTGTCAAACCCCAACACATGCCCATGGTTATGATGTAAAATGGTATTGAATATTGAATAAACAGCACTGAAAGCTCCACCTCCTTGTCTCTGTACCCAAGACATTGTCACCCCTTATTCTATACCATGGATCTCATGCCCAGATTTTATAGCTTTAAAATGTATACACATACACATACAAATAACTATATACAAACACAGTTATTATTTAAGTGTTCAATGACAGTTCTCCCAAGAATTTTGTTAATTTTAGTCCATGACTAGTGTAACTTGAGTAGTCCAAATTCATTGGCCAGGTATTTATGATATATAATGGGAGCGTCATTCAACAACTAATATTACATATATAATTCAACATTACAGACAGTTCTAACCAAAAAATCAAATCCCCTTGAAGGATTGTGCTTCCCCATTCCTCTGCATTACCCACCAAGTGCAACCAGATCCTTAAGCAAAAACAATCCCATCGATAAGTTTGTCTTTGCCTGAGGCAGGGCTAATGCAATCTGTCTTTATTTCTCATTTGTACCACAAGGACTTTTTCTCTGTGGTACATAAGGGTCCTGACAGAGCAGGGACACCTTGATTGGTAGAACCTCGGATGTTAACTAACCAGGTGGCCTTGGCCAAATGCAGATCCCAGTGTTTGAAGGTCCCACCACCCATTGCTTTCAATGTGGTTTTTGATAGTTCATTCTGCTGTTGAAATTTCCTAGAGGCTGATGCATGATAGGGAATATGATACACCTACTCAATAACAATTGTTCAACTCAATTATTTCTGGGGTGCCATGAAGCCACAGGACTTGCTTTTCAAGTCCCAAGATGGTGTTCCAGGCAGTGGCGTGAGGCACAGGGTGTGTCTCCAGCCATCCAGTGATTGCTTCCACCATGATAAGCACGTAACACTTGCCTTGGCAGGTTTGCAAGAGTGTGATGTAATGAATCGGAAAGGCCTCCCCATATTTATATTTTGACCATCATCCCCCATACCACAGAGGCTTTA